TCATTTTCTTTTATTTTTATTTAATAATTCATAGGCCAACAACCCCCTTTCTCTGGTTTTGCTTGCAAACTCTTTTTTTTTTGCTTTACATAGTTCATTTTCTATTTTCATTTTTCTTACTGTTAACATAGATAACTTTAGTTGTACAGGGAGTCCTTGATTTGCAACCATTTGCTTAGTGATTGTTCAAAGTTATTGCAGCACTGAAAAAAGTGCCATATGAGCCCATTGCTCACACTTATGACCATTGCAGCATCTCCATGGTCATGTGATCAGAATTAGGACACTTGACAATTGGCAGGTTTTTATGATGGTTGCAGTGTCCCAGGGTCATGTGATCACCTTTTGTGATCCTCTGACAAGCAAAGTCAATGGGGAAGCCAGATTCACTTAACAATTATATAACTAACTTAACAACTGCAATGGTTCACTTAACAACTGGAGCAAGAAAGGTCATAAAATGGAGCAAAACTCCGTTAACAATTGTTTGGCTTAGCAATCAAAATTTTGGGTTCAAGTGTGGTTGTAAGTCGAAGACTACCCGTACAAATATACCTTATTGAGAAGTACTTATCCTCTCTTCAATATGTTTTTAATTCTTACCTTTATCTCATCCAAAATAGTTTGTGTTTACTTTGTCCTCTGGGATTGCTCTAACTCTCAAACAAAATTTCTTCATTCTTAATTCCAATAGCACCAGATTATCTACTTCTCTTTCAAACTCTGTCTATAACTTCTGTCTTACTCTTCAGAATTTCATTGTGCCATTAATCTGTTTTATATTCCAGACACTTGTACAGAGCTTAACTTCTTTCATCTCCTCTTTTATCTTTATAAATCTTTGATCCTTTTTTTTAAAGCTGTCAGATTAGTATCAAATGATTCAGCTAATTTATTGCCTAATTCCTCAAACATTTTCTGGAATAAATCTGATGTAATTCTTCTCTCTGCAGGTTGTTCTAGTGATCTCCTCTTCCTGCTTTTGTTTTATTTGCAATACTGCCACTTGCAATACGGTAATCAAAAAATGAGAGTGTTTCAATTTCAAAGGAAATAGTAAAAGGGAGCTCTTCTTTTTAGCTATTAATTAATTACATCCAAAAGTTGTTTAAGAAATTAGACATGTATGTATATAGGTTGCATTTCAACATGATTGAAATCCCTCAATTCCTAACCATCCAATTTTATGAGAAAAGTCCTGTCTCTTTGGACTCCTTATTTCATTTTTAGATTGATTGCTCTTAGATCGTATTCAGTATCTGCACCGTATTATTCAGATATGTTAGATTATTCACATTCCTGCCATGGATTGACTCCAATCTTTAATTCTTCCAAACCTGTGGCCCATATTTAGTTTATAAATTGAGGAGTTCTTTTCCACAGGTAAATTATTGGGTGTTAACAAATTCTGTCCTCACTCACTGTGGTTTCCGGCTATTGTAGAGTTTTCTTATCCGAAAAATCAGATTATAGGGGATAACAATTGTTTTGAAGGAGTTCCAATGATTAACATTATTTTAAAAATGGCATAGTCCATAAAACAGAACTTTTTGATATTCAATTCCTCTATCCATGATCCATTTAATGTTAGTTATATGGCCTTTTGTTTCCTTTTTCTTTCTGAAGCTTGTTCAACTTCTACTTCTCCCTAATTATTCTGCAGACTTATTATCAGTATCTTGCTGGAATGTGGTGTTAGGGCTGTTAGGGCATAATTAGAACATTCCTCTAAATCTCCCTTTTTAGGGATTGGGATATAGATAGACCTTTTCCTGTTTTTTGGCCATGCTGCTTTTTCCCATATTTGTTGGCAGAGGACTGTCATGTTCTTGTTTGTTCCCATGCCAGCCTTCTTTAATAATACTTGGGCTTTCCTATTTTTTGTTTTTTTTTTCTGCCCATCTGACTTCCTCTTCAAGCACCCCTGTTTCCTCTTGATATTCTTCTCTTGTGAATATGATGTTGCCCATTTTTGCCTTCTTGTATTGCATTTCAATATGATTCTTTTACCTTCTTTTAGATACATTTCATCATGATTGGGTTTTTTTAGTCTAATATATATTTCTGTGATTGCTGATTCATAGTGAAGTGCTCAGCAATCTTTTGCAATTCATCATGCAGCTTTTCCAAAAGTTGCTACATGCATTTTGCATATTGCTTAATTAAATGCAATATATTTGATTGTGGTGTGGTCCATCTGAATATGTGTGGGTAGAGAGCTATTTTTTATCTTGTCAAAATGATCTGTTACATACTCCATTTCTACACAAAGCATATATGTCAATGCCCTGTAGCACTGTGGCCAAATTTTCAAACTGTTTTTAATGTAGGTTCGTCTTCAGTTTTTGCATTAAAGTTGCCAGTAATTATTAGAATATCCTTTTTTGGTGTTGTTCTATTACTTATTGTAATATTGAATTCAACAATCAGGGTCCATCACTGATACATATATCTGTATAATTGTAAAACTAAGTAGCTGTTTTTGAATCTTGAGAGACAGGCTTCCTATAAGCTAGACTGCTTATAGGTTTTGTTACAGATAGAAGTGAAACTCACAATCCCCTGAATATCTGTATTTAGTCATTGCAATACTTATATGAGTAACACTTGAGTTATTTATAAGAAATAACCAATTTTCTCAAAATCGATGTATTCCCCATTTCTACTGATGGTTAATTTTTAAAAAATGTGTATGTAATGTTTGAATTACAATATTACATCAGATAGGTTTATTTGTGAAAAAAATACTGTTCAGCAGGCAAAAGGATGGTGAATTGTCTTCTAGAAATTCCTCTGTAGTTTATATGTGAATACTTGAATAAATGTACTGTGTTTCCCCCCAAATAAGACCCTGTCTTATATTTTTTTGAACCCTGAAATAAGCGCTTGGCCTTATTGCCATGCGCTCAAAAGCCCAATTGGGCTTATTATCAGGGGATATCTTATTTGGGGGGAAACAGGGTACAATTCAGCATTCTTTGTATGGCAAATATATGCTTTGTACATCCTTTGAATATCATGGATGAATAACTATTGGCACAACAAGCAGCAGTCTATAATTGTTCATTTGTGTTGAATATAATGCAGTGTTTCTCAACCTTGATTACTATAAGATATGTGGATATACACTCCCAGAATTCACCAACCAGACATGTAAACTACTGCATTGTAACTGAAAGCTTTTGTAATGCTCAAACTACTGAAAACATTTTAATATATCCTGTAGCTATCAAGAATCCAATTTATATAACAAGGACTTTTAAAAATACAGCCATTTTTGCATTACACTCATACAAAAGTACCCATTTTTAAATTCAGACAATGCTATATTAAATAAGGATGCTTGTGAAACAAATTCAATTGGAAATAATATTGAATATAATATATGAAAGATGAACAGAGTTATATTATTTCTTTCCCCATCATCTGCAATAGTTTTTGGAAACCTCAGGTTACAACACATTAATATTAAAATTAAAAACATGTTCCTTTCACTAAAATCAAAAGGTTTGAGAATGCTAAAACAGTATTGTAGCATTTACTGCTGTAAAGGAAAAAATAAGATTAAATACAATTGTGAAGATAGTTTACACAGATGGATCAGTTGGTCATTTGCAAACTTTAAAGCAGGTTTTCTTTCAAACTTGGCATTTTTCAGAATTGCTGGTTTAGGATTTCTGGGAGCTGAAGTCCACACATTTTAAATGTGCCAAATTTGAAAAAACACAGGTCTAAAGAGCCAACGTGGCACAGAGGTTAGAGTGCAGTGGCTAGTTCAGCAGATCAGCAGATCAAATCTCACTGGCTCAAGGTTGACTCAGCCTTCCATCCTTCTGAGGTGGGTAAAATGAGGAGCCAGATTGTTAGGGGGCAATATGCTATTTAGTATACTGTCTTTGGTGGAAGTGGCCAGCATAGAAATATGACAAATAAATAAATAAATAAATAAATAAATAAATAAATAAGTAATTAGGGCATATTTTCTTATTCTGAGTAACTATATTTGTGATTAGGAACAATGTATCCACAAAAAGAACGATATTTCCAAACTGTCTGTTGTCCCAGCCTTTCTGTTTACTAAGATGCCTACAAATGACAAGTAGAGATGAAATTACAGAACCAATATCTTTCAATGTTTCATAACTAAACTAAAATTACTCATGGATATATTTAATACATACTTTGGCAGGTAAGACTGTTGGCGGGACACTTCTCATTCTCACAAACAGTACAAAATATAGCAAAATAATAGGATGAATTTCCTTTAGAAAATTTAACAATGAAGCAATATTATCTCTCAAGTTTTTTTCATTGCTAAGAATCTAGAAACTTTTCTAGATTCTCCAGTTTTGCAAGATGGAGTTGATATAAATTGTTCAACACAAATATTGATAAGGGAAGCTAGTAATTTTAATTTTTTTAATTGTAAACATTTTTTAATATATTGATCTTAATAAGATTTGAAGCTTCATATTTTAACTGATTCAAACTTTAAGAGATATAAAACAAAATTATTTTAGCTTCCTTTTTTAAATGTTCTGATATATAACTTTATTAAGGATATTTATGGATATATTTCTTCAGCAGTTTCTGATTGTAGACTTTCCACACTGCTGACATTTTAGTCCATGCTTGTATTTTTATAATTATTATGACATCTTTTTAGAATTTTAAGAAGAAATATTGGGCCAGTCATTCTCTCTCAGCCATCTTAGTTTGTTGGCAAAAATAGGAGAAAGAAGGAGCATTGACTATGTTCACCACTTTTTAAAAATAATAAATACCCAAGGCAGAAGGTGAGTGGGTGGCAGCTCCAGGGTAAGGCCAGAGCCAGGGAATGGCGCATTCCCTGACCCAGCCAAGGTGGGTGGTGAGTGGGTGCAGGCTCGGGCCTTGGGGAATGGCACGTCCCTGGGCTCCGGCCCTTGACCCAAGATGAAGGGCGAGTGGGCGGCATGTTTACCTTTGGTGAGCTGAGCAGAGCTGGCAAGCTGTGGAGGCGACTGGTGAGGTGATTAGCTTGGCCACTTGGCGAAAGCAACATATATAGGGATGGGATGGGCAGGACAAGCGGTGAGCGGGTGGGCATGCGCAGAGCCAACCAGAGGTGGTTTTTATCAGTTCAGTGAACCAATTCAAATTGCCGCTACCGGTTCACCCAAACTGGTCCGAACTGGTCGAATATCACCTCTGCTCCCTCCCTACCCAACAACAGTCATTTACCTGCCTTTTGGGAATGAGAGGAGGGGAGGAAGGGAAAGAAAGGGAAGGGAAGGGATGGAAAGGGAAGGGAAGGGAAGGGAAGAGAAGAGAAGAGAAGGGAAGGGATATTTCTGATGCTGCCTTTCAGATTCCCACAAGAAAACTCAGTAGAAAAACTAGCAGGAAGTTAGAAGTCACTCCTGCTCCCACTGTTTTTTTTCTTCCCTTGGTCATTTCCCCCCCCTGTTTAGGTAAGGAAATATCTCTGAAACAATGACCCAGAAAAATATGGATTGTCTATAAATGGATAAAATTATAGCCTATGCCAGATGCAAGGCTGCCACTTGCCCACCTTACCCAAGTTGGAACAGATGTTTAATAACATTGTATGAACTTGGTTTAATAAGTATGACATGCTTACAAATAAGTTCAATTTAATTTATTGTGTGCTAGAGTTTACTGTAGCTGCAAGTGGTATATTAAAAAAAAATTAAAACTTTTTGTCCTAATTATCCAATTGTTACATTATGACTTTCCAGTTTGTTATTTAGATCATATTTTTCTCTAGCAAGAAAATGAATGTTTACTGTGAGATACAAAACCATATCTATTGTTTATTTAAGCAAGACACATATAACAGCTATATGAGAAATGTCAGAGCTTTGAGATACACAATGTTTATTGTATATTATTATATTATTTCTTGTACACTTTTTTCTAGAGATACGTTTTTGAAAATAATCCTGGGAGCTTGTAAAAAATATTTCAAATTTCACCATGGAAATATATGAATAACCCAGCTAAATATATGATTAGCTGGGTTGAAACTAATTGCTGGAATCTAGAAATAAATAACGTAAATCAAGTCTGTCAAAGAGAAAGAAAGGAGAGAAAGAAAGAGGCAGACAATTTACAAGGCAACAATGCACAAATTTTTGAATGACTACTGTTGTGAAAATGATGTAAAATTTAGAAAAATACAAGCTATTCAAAAAATTGAACAATATTTTATTTTATCACCATGCTTCTAAGATTGAGGACATGAGGACAAAAAAGAGAAGTACTCATTTTGCTGGATCTCTGGTAATCCTAATGGGATAGATCTCAGCTCCCATCATTTTTACTCATCATGGTCTCCTCTCATTCTTCTTATAATAATTATGGCTTCTGATATTTCTCTACTCCAATTTCAAAGATATGATCTATGACTCTTCTTTTAACAGACATACATAGAAATTAGTCACTCCTCTTCCAGAAGCAGCTGCTAAACAGTCCAGCACAACTGCACGTCCCCAGAGGTTTTTTTTTTAAAAAAAGGCATATTACAGGCAGTCATGTAGAACCACGTTCTTTTCTCCAGAACCTATTAGATCATTTTGATGAAGAAGTCTGACTTGATTGTGGCATTGTGATGGCATTTTTCTGTGAAAACTACCGATCCTGGTTTTTTGCATTTCTGTCAGAGCTGTTGTTATATTCTTACAAACAATACTCATGGTCCAGCACCATTTAAGAAGGGGAAAGCAACTAGCAAGTAATTTTTGTAGCTTTTGAGCCGTTGGTCTCCTCTCCCAAAAATTCACCCCTTCAAATATTGCTCTAAAGTTTAGGGCTAATTTGGCATACAATATTATAATGGCATAGATCAGTGTTTCTTTCCATGCTGGCTGGGGAATTCTGGGAGCTAAAGACCACACATCTTAAAAATGCCAAGGTTGAGAAGCATTGTTACTTGGAAGGTACAGTTCCAGTTAAGGGTCAGCTGCCTAGTAATCAATGAAGTTGTGACCAAAAGCTTGCTATTTTGAGCCAAGTTATCTTTGTTGTTTCCTTGGACAGGAAATGCCATTTGAATGGCATAGGGGAAAACACCAAAACTACCAGTGAGGTTACAGCAATTATGTTTTACTTCTGAGAACAGCTAGGGAAACTTTGTAAAGGTGAGAGTAGGAAGGAAAGGAAGGGAAAGAAGGAGGGAGGGAGGGAGGGGGGAGGGGGTTATGAAGAAGTAAACAAAGTTTTGAACATTTAAAATAGGTAGAATTCTCATTATCCTGCCATGGCTGCCACCTTGACTTTTCTCCCCATACCCGATGAACTCTCTAGCAGGAAAGAAGGTTGCTTCACTGGTGCCTTAATATTTCTACTTCTGCAGTAAGGCAGAAAAGTCCATCTGTTCAATTATCAGTTCTGGAAGTTGTGGGTGCAAGTAAATTGTAGCTATGGGAAGTAGTGGTGCAACTCTCTGACCTTATTTAGAATGGGGTGTTGATGTCATATGCTGGAATACTGTAATAGATGAAAAGCTCTTCTAAATAAGAAGAGTTGTTTTTCCAACTTAGTTTTGCAGAGGAAGAACATTCCTCAGCAATAGAGTCACTCACCTTGCACTGTGGATGATAGATACCTGAAGATTCTTCCTGTCAGTATTAGATTACGCCTATATAAGACCATGCTCATACTAATCAATTCCCGACCCTTTTCCCAACTCTTCTATGCAACACATTACTTATGATGGGCAATAGAATGATAGAAATGTCAGCTTTCAAAACAGATCAGGTAAATCAGACTTGTCATATAGGCCAGTGCTAAAGTTATTGTAAAGTTTAATAATAATTATAGTACAGTATAATAAAATCTATTCTCCCTTCTTTTATTTATGTGTGAACTAGGGATCGTGATTACACATATTATGTTCTTACTCCAAATGCAGGTCCCATTTTATCTGATCATTGCCTCGATAGTGACTGTTTTTCCTCTCTCTCAAAGACATTCCCTCTGCCCTCTATGGACCTCTGACTTGATAGAATCATAAGGTGGGAAGGAACCTAGAAAGTCTTTTAGTACAAATTCTTTCTCAAGGTTAGAATCATCAGACCAGCCCAGAGAAATGGCTGTCAACCTTCTTTGGAGCACTCATGAGTCCAGGAGACAAGCTGCTTAATAACTCTCACTGCTTTGTAGTGTAATTGCACTGCAATACATTTGTCTGATATACTTTCCCCCTACTTCTGTGCAGTGGGTAGATTGCTAAACATTAAGAAGAGATCAGATTTACTCAGCTGTGGGCATGGTAGAATTATTGCGGCAATTGTTGTTTTGTAGCTAAAATGCCTACTTAGATGGTTTGAAGGTTAAAAAAGGAACAAATGTTCCTTTCAGTCCTCGACTTACAAGTTTGTTTAGTCACCATTCAAAGTTACAATGGTACTGAAAAAAGTGACTTATGACCATTTTTCACACTTACAACCATTGCAGCATCCCCATAGTCACGTGATCAAAATTCAGACGCTTGGGAACTGACTCATATTTATGAAGGTTGTAGTGCCCTGAGGTCATGTGCCATCTGTGACCATCTGACAAGCAAAGTCAATGGGGAAGCCAGATTCGCTTAACAATCTCGTTACTAACTTAAGAACTGCAGTGATTCACTTAATAACTGTGGCAACAAAGTTTGTAAAATGGGGCAAAATTCACTTAACAAATGTCTCACTTAACAACAGAAATTATGGGCTCAATTTTGGTCGTAAGCTGAGGGTTACCTGTATTAAGAGTGAGTCCATTAGATTATTTTTGAACATCGTATTATCTCATGAATTTAAGGAAAGGTACTTTAAAAGTTCCAAAGCAAACAAGGGCTTTATGATTGTGCAATGTAGGGCATCTTGATAGAGTTTAGAAACGTGCAGCTATCCCATTAGAGAAGCCCACTGAAAATCAGGCAGTTTAAGCTAAATCAATACTCCCCCATTTTCCTTCCTGGCAATTGGCATAGAAGTGAAATAAAGAATAGAGTGCTTTTCCCAGTTCTATTCCAGGCAATCCTAGGTGGTATTTACGTGTGAGAGAGTCAGATCTAAGGGCATTCAAATCTCAAGGCACAGGATGTGGAGAAGAATATCACGGAGACTGGAGCTGTATTTACTAATTGTATAATATAGGTAGGTCTATGGGAAGTCAGGAGTAGGTATCAAGGACATGAATAAAGGGAACGAGACCCCTGCTGGGTCAGACAGGATGCCTGAGTTCTTGATGAGTCAGTGTGACAGTACAGTGCATGACTGGAAGCATGGAGGCAGCCGTGACTAGGAACAGGGAGAGGATGCAGACCCTGCCTTGCAAACAAGCAGAAGGACCTGCCCTCATCCTGTCCAGTTGCAAAACTTCTCGTCTCTTTCATTGGCCCCACCTCCTGGTTAGTGGCATATAAACCATACTCCCATTCCAGCTTGACACAAACACTCTGCTATTCCTAGAGAAAACCAATTGATTTCTAAGAAGGAAAAGCAACCAACTGGGCTAGACTCACCAGAGATATCAGGTGGGTATCTCCATCCCTCTGGGATTTTTTTCCCCTTGAGATTTATATGGCATAGCATATGGATTTGCATAAAGGTTTTGTGAGCCACAGAGGCTTTTGTAGTAGCTACAGGGGTAAAAGTGCCAGTATTTCTTCTAAACTAAGCTATGAATATTGAAACTGCTGAGGATTTCACCTTTAATAGAATAACAGAGAAAAGATGGGTAACCTGATGCCCTCTAAATAGCTTGAATATTTATTCTCATCAGTTCCTAAGGGTAGGGTCAATGGCAGGAACCAGGGGGGAGATGCCATCCAAAATATCTTCAAGGCATCCAGTCACCAAACCCCAAAGGAAGAAATGCCTCTGTGCTGGAGTGAAAACTCATCTGAAAATTATACCTTAATTGAAGATGGAGGCTCATAGTTGTCAAAAAGGAAGGAAAGGCTACTGTTACATTTTCAGAGGCATCTTCATTGTTTCTTCTGATATTAAGCCAGGATGCCCTAATGACTGATCGTTGTTTTCTTTTCTCCAGATCAGAATCATGGATTCAAGAAAAGTTCTTCTGATGCTCATCTGGTTGACAACATCTTCATGTCAGCTCTGGAGGACATCAGGAATGACAGACAGGTAAGGAGCAAAATCAGTATTGGATGTGGTTAAAGAAGAGATCTACAAGAGAAAAGATTTTCCTGCATCAACTTTATAAGACTGAAACTGTAAAGAAGTTTCCCTACTTCTTCTTACAGGCGGCAACCCCCTCCTGCTGCTTCCTTTCTGGAACAACTCCTGAAGATTGGTGGAAGAGTAAATGGTAGAGCCGCTCGGGAATCTGATCTGGGATTAGAGGAAAGACCCTCCACATGGGCACAATTGGTGCAAGAAAGAGATCAACTGAACTTGCTCAGAAGGTAAGTGTAATGAACTGTGTTTGCACAGCAGGGTTATCCATGACTAAGCTGACCATAGTGCATAGCATACTGTAGCAAATTGATGAATAATACAAACTTTGTTTTATAAAACTATCCGGGTTTACATATTGTGATAATATATGGAACCAATACAGAAGAAGACAGACTTAGAACTTGATGCAATGTGTGGATCTAGCTATTTTATTAGCTTGGCCTGCTATTAGAGATTGTGTGATAACTCTCTTATTTTTTAATATGAGTATCATTTTAAAAAATGGAGTCAGAGAACCTGGTGTTCTCTAAAAGCGTTGATACATATAACATGATTTGAAGCTGATGGAGTCCTCTGACCTCTGGAGGACTTCCCCAGGTCTTTCATTTCTTCCCTGCCCTATCTCCTCCATGACTTCACACAGCAATTCTAACACTCTAAGAAAAAAATGGTTGGATTTGGGCAGCATTATTTTAGGCTGATTTGGGGAAACTTGTTTAGGGTGGGAAAGATGATAAAGCCTCATTGAAACTCCCTGCTCTTGTTCCCATCCTATTCCTACATCCCACCTCATTCATCCCCATCTCTTCCATAGCATCACCAAATTTGGCCCTGCAAACTTGGAAAGCCAAGTTTTCTGCCCCTTCAGATGTTTCCCAATTAGCACTCCTAATGAAAGATTGTTAAACACCATTATATACCACATATTTAATAGTATTTTGTGTCAAAAAAAGAAGCAAAATGCTTTCTGCAGAGTGGCTTCCTATCTGCCCTTCCTGTCAGTTAGGTTTTAATTTCTTCCCAGTAGACAAATGTATTATTGGTGAAACTTATTGGACAGCGTGGGTAAATAATTAATTAGGGACTCTTAATAACGTCAACTAAGTGCCTTTTCATGCACCTGTTAGAGGCATTCACACAGATCCTCATCCCAAACTCCAAATGAGCCTACAATAGAAAATAACAAGCTACATGAATTGATTGTTTGAATCTGGATACGGTTTGCTCTTATGGTTGCAATAACTTAAACACTTGCTTTAGCTACTAGATGGATTAGATATTTCCCAAACTGAAACTCTATGGATATGTTAAAATATAAAGGGAATGCTTGTTTAAAATGATGGAGGCTGAAGTTTGGAGTGCCCTGACTTAGTAAACTATCTAAGTCTTCTAAGATTCCTAATTTCTAGGCTTCTTCCCCCTCCAAAATGGGATCTGAGATGCATAGGCCAATAACTTGGTTGAGAGAAAAGCTGTTCCTAGCTTTATGACAATGTGATTTCAAACCTTAATCACACCCAATCCCAAATTTAAGAACATGAATAATTAGTTCTTGCTTCTTTCCATTTTAAAGGCATTCATAGTATGGGAGCTCTGGGTTCATTCTAGCACACTCCTTGAGACATCAGCATTTTCTTATTATTCTCTTTCTTCCAGCAGCTCTGTTCCTGGACACCGTGTGCCCCGACAACTGTTAGCTTCACCTCCTGCCCGTGGATGCCATCTTGGCACTTGCCAGATCCAGAACCTGGCCAATCTACTTTACCGTTATGGGGGCAATAACCAAAAAGAAGAATCCCACAAGAACAACAAGGGAACAAATGATCCCATGGGCTATGGGCGTAGGAAACGCAGGGCAGCTGGCCATGGAGTATCCAGTCCCACTTAAAAGATGTTTTGAGGATGAGAGAAAGATGGGCACCCACATGAATCAGGTTCTGGACACCTGCAAAGATCAGAGAAAGAGGCTGGATGATCCCAGCGCTCAGAGGCCATGCTACGAAACAGCAGTGGACATTCTGGGTGAATATGGCCATCATCTGAGATGAAGGATGGCAACTCTCTTCTGCCTTTTTACCTCCATCTCAGTTTAGATTTGGTTCCTTGTGTTTTCCTGAAATTTCAACAGCATGCAGTCTTCAGAGAGATTGCCTGTTTCTGCTCTGGCCTGAGCTGTTCTAGTAGAGTGGAGTTACATTTGTATTTGCACCAGATCACATCAAGAGCCCACTATCCATTGGGGCACAGAATGCACATGAATATGCTCTAATAAACCACAGAGACAGAGAGAGCAAAGGGGTTTGGGATCTCCAGAAAGATACTGAAACAGCCATGACTTGTTTCTGCAAAAGAGAAATTGATATTAACACCATGTTAGCACTGTGGACGGTGGGGGTGGGGTTTAAATCAAACAATTTCCCTGGGGCATTTCTGTCTTGTTGGATTCTGTGTTTCATCTGTGCATAATGGATTTCTTTTGAGAGGAGCTTGTAAGTAAACAGACTGATCGATTTGGAGTTGTAAATGGTGTTTTTGTGCCTACCTCCATACTGTATAGCTGAAAAGAGTAATTCAGAACCGATGCTGTTTTATCCCTTCTCCGCTTTAGCTAAAAACCCCATTTCTCCTATAGCATAAGGTTGATTAGCACTACCAGATTACCCCCACTGGAAGCAATTTAGCTTTGGGTATCATGCTAAGGAAATGCAGCAGAACCTCCAGACTGGAAATAAATGAATATTGAATGAATGAATTCCTGCAAAGTGACAATGACCCCTACAAACTTTTTAAAAATTATTGCAAGGCTACATAAAATCATCCAAGTATGAACTTCCTGTTGCCACTTTTAACTGTTGGAAAAATGAGAGCGGACCCATCCTAAGTGTCTCTCTCTGACTCTTAAACTACTGGGCCTCCTGCCTCTCTTGTCGGATTATTTTCTAGGCCCTTTCCTTCACTTCCTATTCATTCACCAAGGTCACAAGGTCACCCACACATTCCATTACAGATCCTCAGACTTAGGACGAACCATAACCCGAGGGAATGTCTATGGAGATTCTCAGTCATCCAGGTCATGGTTGTCCCAAAGGTGCTTTTTCAAGAGGCAACTGGACTTTTAAAAAACCCAGAAAGTCCAGTTGCCTCTTGAAAAAACACCTTTGGGACAACCTGAGTGGATGTACCATGCACAACATAACAAAGAATGTCAATAAAATTTACAGTGTCATGAGTATTCCTAGTTCTTTGTCTGCCATGATAATTATATGCATTAGAAATTCAACTGTAAAAAAGAGGAAAAAATGCTTTCGCTGTATAGAAGACTCTAGAAAGAATGTAGAGAAGAGCAACAATGATTGTTAGGGGGCTAAAATATATGAAGAAGAGTTGCAGGAATTGGGTATGTGGTGTCTAGCAAAAAGAAGGACTATAGGTAACATGTTAGAAGTATTCCAATATTTGAGGGGTTGCCACAAAGAAGAAGCAATCAATTTATTTAGAGCCACAGTGGCACTCTGGTTAGAATGCAGTACTGCAGACTACTGCCTGCAATTTGGCAGATCGAATCTCACTAGGCTCAAGGTTGACTCAGCCTTCCATCCTCCCAGGTGGATAAAATGAGGACCCAGATTGTTGGGAGCAATATGCTGACTCTGTAAACCGCTTACAGAGGGCTGTAAAAGCACTGTGAAGTGGTATATAAATCTAAGTGCTATTGCTATTTTCCAAAGCACCAGAAGGCAAAACAAGAAGGATGGAAACTAATCAAGGAGAAAAGCAACCTAGAACTAAGGAGAAATTTCCTGATAGTGAGAACAATTAATTAGTGGAACAAGTTGGAGGCTTTTAAGAAAAGACTGGACAGCTACGGTACTTGTCTGAAATGGTAAAGGATCTCCTGCTTGAGCAGGGGGTTAGACTAAAAGACCTCCAAGGTCCCTTCCAATTCTGAAGTTCTATGTTCTATGGAACAAGAAAGAAAACAACTTTGAATAATTCAGTGCTTAAAATATACGAACATGTCTCAATAAATTTGACAGCATAACTTACAATCACTGTTTCCCCACTGGTTCAGTATCTCTAATTTATGAAAATGCTTTATGTGAGGATTCCAGGGAACATCATCTTATCAAAAAGAAAAGAAGCCTATTTATATGCAAAATGCTTTGGATTTGAAAGATTATTCAAAATATAATTCAGCATTTGCAAGGTACAATATAGCATAGCCTGAAAAATGCCTTAGAGTTTGTGTATATTCATGAAATATGAACAGACTTCCTTGCTCTACTATTTGTCAGTTGTTAAACTGGGGGTATGAAAAACCACAGCAAGCTGGGAAAAACTGTCCCGGCATTACAGGATATTCACTTCCCCCACCATACATGTAACTTCTTTAAATATAAAAAAGCAAGTGAACTACAGAGAGTAGCTTTAAATTTTTGCCACTAATGTACTCTTGACAATGAATTTAAAGCCCCCACATGAAACTATGTCTATTACATCCTGAAAAATGTTCTAATAACCGGGAGAAGCAACTTCATGTAGTTCCCCTCCCGATACATACAGCAGCTTGGAAGGCCTGAAAAAGCTCTTCAAATGGCCTGATGTAGCTACACCTACAAAGATTAAAACCATGCAATCCATGGTATTCTGTCATAGTCTCTGTGGCACATTATGGGAATGAAAGTTGGATTTTGAAGAAGCAAGATAAGAAGAGTATTGACACTTTGATGTTGGGGAAGACTCCTGATAACACTTGGGCAGCCAAGAAAATAAACAAGTGGCTTATTTTATTTATTTATTGGTTTGATTTATATGCCGCCCTTCTCTGGAGACTCAGGGCGGCTTACAATGCGTTAAGCAATAGCCTTCATACTTTTGTATATACCTGCTTAGTAGGGCTTTTTGCCCCCCCCCCACGGTGTTCTATTTTATGCAAAGTCAGTTTATTGCCCCCACAAACTGGGTCCTCATTTTACCTACCTTGGAAGGATGGAAGGCTGAGTCAACCTTGAGCCTGGTGAGAATTGAACTCGTAGTAATTGCAGGCAGCTGGCACTTAAGTGCTACTTTAACAGCAGTTTAGTCTGCTGCGCCACCAAGGCTCATTAACCCCTATCAATCCAGAGTTCTCAGTCAAGGCACAAATGATCAGGCGTACATTATTCTACTTCAGACATCTTTAGGTAAAGATCTTATTTTCTAGCGAAGGCTCTAATACTGGGGAAAATGGAAGAAAAGAGTTAAAGTGGAAATTAGTGCATCTTCGAGACTTCAAAAAATAGGTTAGAGATAGGTCGTCATGAAGCAAATAATTCAATGTGGTTGCTAGGCATCGAAACCGACTTGATGGCATGCAATAAATCAACCGATTAATCGGCCACTTCATGCATACAGAAAGATGGAAATCCAGGGACTGGCTTTAACCGAGAGCAATGCAAAAATTAGACATCACGCCACGTCGCTGAAGAAATCCGGGAATCCAGCTGTCCATTTCCAAGCGCCATCGAATCTGCTCTGGGCGGTCTCCAAAACCCACCGCAGCAGTGTAATTATATAGGCGAACCGCTCGGCCGGCCTGCGAGTAATAAAACGGCACGGGGGATTTCGGGAGAATTATTGGACCTTCGGAGTCGGCATGGGAAGCCGGGAGATGCTGCTGAAGGCCGAAGACCGAGCAAGGATCGACGAGCTGAAGGACGCAGGCTGAAGCGGGGGTAGAGGAACACACGGGGTGGGGAGGAGAGAGAACCAGGGAAAGAGAGACCGGCGCAGAGACTGGCAAAGGAAGCGCGGGAAAGAAAGGATGGAGAAGAGGAGGAAGAGGAGGATCAAGAAGAAGGGACCCCAGAGGGTGGGCTGGCAGTGACGGAGGCGGTCCCGAGGTTTGGGCATGGCTGGATCCAGAAGTGAATCAGGTTGCCCTGAAGTCCCAACACAGACCGAGGCTCCGTTGGATAAGGGGAGTGTCGGTGCTAAAATCGAGGTCCTGCAATCCCTTGGCGTGGTCCTCAGGATCGAAGGCTGCTAGCACTTCTTCGCTGTTGGATGCAATCTTGTGCAGCTTGAGGTGGTGTGCACCTAGCATCTGACGTGTTCTGCCTAGCAAGTCTATGGCTACTGCTGGAGTGGGTACAGATTTCAAGCCATCATCAACGTAGAAGTCTCGCTCCACAAAGCGCCTGGCATCTGAACCATACCTGGCCTCTCCTATGCGAGCGGTGTGTTGCAGACCATAGTTGGCGATAGCAGGGGAAGAACCATTCCCAAAGATGTGCACTCGCATTCTGTATTCTGTGACCTGTTGGTTGTGCTGTTCGTCGCTGAACCACAGGAAGCGCAGATAGTTGCGATGATCTTCCCTGACGAGGAATGAGTAAAACATCTGCTGAATGTCAGCCATGATGGCTACAGCTTCCTTTCTGAAACGGATGAGCACGCCTAACAAGCTGTTGGTAAGGTCAGGTCCTGTGAGAAGGACTTTGTTCAGGGAGAGGTTGTGGAACTGTGCACTGGCATCGAAAACCACTCTTATTTGACCTGGTTTTTGTGGGTGGTATACTCCAAAGAATGGTAGGTACCAGCATTCCTCCTCCTTCTCCAGGGCAGGGGCAAGCTCGGCATGCCCGTTCTGGATCATCTTGTCCATGAATTCCACCAGGTGGGCTTTCAAAGCGGGCTTCCTGTTCATGAGTCGTCTCAAGCTGAAGAGGCGAGAGAGGGCCTGCTCACGATTGTTCGGCAGGCGCTGTCTGGGCGTACGAAAGGGTAGTGGGGCTACCCAGCTTCCGCTAACATCTTCCTGAAATTCCTTTCCCATGAGCTGCAGAAATTCTTTGTCTTCTATTGACAGGTCATTGGCTAGGTCATTGTCCTCTTTGCTGGTCTGGAACACTGTCGTACCTAAGTCAGGGTTATTTGTCGAAATCGTGAAGTGTTCTTGACATGGTTTCAAGTGTGATGTTCTCCCGTTGCTTAGAATGGAGGTTGTGAAGATATTCGCCTGATTCGGGGCCTGCAGCCGGTCGACACAGACTGTTCCCAAGATGGCCCACCCGAGTCCTGTCTTGAGGGCAAATGGAGACCTGCTGGGCCATTGACCACTGCCTGGGGAGAAAAGGCTGCGGGGGCGTCCATGCCCAACAAGAGCAGGATTTTGGCTTCAGGATCTAGGGCAGGGAAGAGATTAGTCATGTGTCTCAGGTGAGGTATGTTGTTTACTACTTCTGGTGTCGCGATTTGACTGCGGTTGTCTGGTAAAGCATCCCATTCTAGCAGTGGCGGCAATGTGAATTTTGCACTTCCGTCTAATGATTCTATGCAGAGTCCCATGACCTTTCTCCCTGCTGTGCGCTGTGCCCCAGTGCATGTTGTAATTGTGAAGTGCGTGTTCTCGGTATAGGCATCAAAGTAGTCGAAGAATGCTGATCTGGCTAATGATTGATTGCTCTGTGTGTCCATTATCACATACATTTTCACAGCTTCTTCCGGGTGCCCAGTTGGGTAGACTTTAGC